GGGGGGGGGGGTTTTAGTTTCTCTATCTTTAAGTATGCCATATCAATGCAGACGTGTATGTTGTATGATTTTTTGTATGTACAAAGTTTAAAATCAGATCTTACGACACAAAAGTTAATTTTTTTTAGATACAGCACTTAAAATGTGTACTTTGCTATATGTAATAATATATTAAGTCTGTATTACTTTTATCATATGGCTGCTTTTTGGAAAGGATGTCTTGCTTAACTGTGTTTCTTATAAGACATTACTGTAGTGTTTCTTGGATATATAGTCACACAGTTGTGTATTGTGGCGTAGTATATCTGAATACTATCCGTATAATTAGTCTTTTATATATATGGTGATATGATCAACAAAATGCAAACTCAACTAGCGCTCATTTCGAAATGTTTGCCAAATTGTCATAATGTCTAGAGCTTTTGTTGTCTGTAAACTTCTTTAAATAAAATCTAGGACAAATGGGTCAAACACAGCACATGCAGTGTGCTGGTAGACAGTAAGTGAGAGCCTGACCCCAAAATTGAATTTCTATCTGAGCTGACTCAGCCCAGTGGGATTGGATAACCATGCAATTTTCCCACCCTTTAATTTCGTTTTCATAGCAATTTATGTATGAGGTTAAAGTTAAAAAAAAGCAATATCATATATGTATGACAGAAATACTTGTACTTATAACGTACGCTTGGTCATAAAAATAAAGTTTGAATCCATTTCACTTTTTCAAAAACGATTCTGGCAACCAGAAATTGGTGTCGCTTTTCAGATTCGATCTGACACAGTGCGCACGTGTGTCCCTGAGTGTCTCGCCTTGTTGAATGGTTGACTAACTTTGCTTTTATTCAATAAAAATAAACAATTCTGGCAACCAGAAACTACTGTCCTTTTTCAAAAACGATTCTAGCAGCCAGAAACTAGTGTCATTTTTCAGATTCGATTCTGACGCTGAGAAACCATTATCGTTTTTGCAGTGGGAGACAAGAGAGGACGGAGGCAGAGGTGACTGGTGATTAGCGTCTATGTTCAGAATCTCATATTGGAGCAAATGGGACATTTAAAATTGTTCTATTGATATTTTCCCATCTCAAAACTTTTGTATATGTTAAAGGAATAAAATAAATAAATAGACTAAAATAAGAATGATAGCCTAGTCAGAGTTCTGTTTCCTTATCTGAGGTTTTCATAATGAAACATATCAGTGCATGCATGTTTTTATTTTCAATTTGACTTAAATACGAGTACTTGGTCGATTTTGATGGTTTATGTTTTCACTTTCCAACCATTCAATTCTATTCAAATAACGAGTTTTTTCATTTTATCGTTACATTTTTTACATTTTGGTAGACCAGTGTAATATGTTATGGTCTGACAGACATCTAAGCTGCTTCAGTTGATTGCAATTAAGCCAGAATCCCCTCGGAGATAGATAGTTCAATCCACAGTTAGTACAATAGGGTCTGAGCATGGTCCCATACAATACTTCAGTTTTGTATGCTATTTTAGAGACCCCAGATTTCAGAGGGTACAAATGTTACTGCAGACATTCAGGTAATGCAACTAGCACAATACTGCAGCTCCATGGAGGTTTTAAGTCACCCGTTGAAAATGCCAATAAGTCACAAATGAAAACAACTCGGAAGTAAAGAAGAATCACGCTGTTCCAGTGTGTCTAGTATGAGCTGTAGTTATAATTTCCCTTCATTTTAATAACAACTGGAAAAATGAAAATGTACACTTTGAGATTTATAACAGTTCATAGTATAACATTCACTAAGACTGGGCTCCCATACTGTGACCTATCTGACAGGCACCACCCATCTCCAAGGGGTTTCTCCCTATATTGCTTTCAGCTTAAGTGGCTCAGATGACTGGTAGGCCTACTGAAGCTGCTAAACTATAGTTAATTCCCCCCTAACAGCTTCAGTAGCCAGACATTAGAGCAGCTTAAGCTGAAAGCAATTAGCAAGAATCCCCTCATAGATAGAACGATCCACAGTTAATACGATAGGGTCTGGGAATGGTCTCTAAATACTGTACAGTTCAAAGCTGTCTCGCTCTCTTTAATCTTGGGGCATCGTAGTCTTTGTCAGGATACTCAGTCGGTTGAACAACCCCAGCTCGCAGATCATCCAGGATTTTCCTGACACCGTCTCGTTGTAATGTAATTGGTAAAAATGGATTCCTGTACCATGGGTAGTTAACATTCCCCTCCTTGTTGTAATAATCGGCCGCGTCCATCATTTCTCTCGTGATCTTATTCAAATTTAATATACTCTCGAAGAGTTCCACACCTCCCTCGGCGTACTCCGTCCCCAACATGGCTGCCTTTTTATTCGTCCAGCCCTGCAGCCAACAGTTGTAGTTATCAGTGATTACGGTGTACATAATGCCACCTACCAGTGCAGCCAAAGAGAGAAAAAATACATGCCCAGTCCAACCAACCAATCTGGCTCTGTAGAAGTTGTGCCTATAAATGGAGTACGTCATCAATCCAGAAGCACCCACAGCTACAGCGTTGACCAAGGGAGCATATGTACTGACGTTGAAGATTTCCCGTGCAATCAGAAACATCTTTGCCTTATCCGAAAGGACAAGAGAGTTGGCCATCTCCAGGGAGAGAGGGTCTTCCCAATCTATCTGATAAATGTCGTGGGATGTTTTGCCTCGGAGTACCAGTGTTTCGCTCTTCACTACGTCATCGACACTCTTATACGCCATAAAGAATGGCAGACCTGGTGAAAGAAGAAAATTAATTTTTGAAATAAAAATAGTTTCAAGATTCATGTCAATTTTGTCTTCTTTCAGTGGACTGAGGGTATGCCATGTGCATACAAAAATGTTTCTGGGTCATATTTTTATGTCTAAACATCCTGCTAAAATTATTTTCTTTGCAATCCATGACTCCTTCAGAATTTATATAAATAAAAAAAAAAAAAAAAAAAAATGGTCCAAAACATCATATGTAAGTACAGGGATGAGTCCAGCAATAATTTGCATGCTGGAGTATTTTTTCCCTACATAAATAAGGTTTGGCTTGAACATCAGATATAAAATATCTTTTGCTAAAAGAAAATAGGACAAATAGTACACAAATAAAGCCATATCGACCCTTTAAGACTGAAGACTCAGGCGTAACAGGTTTTTCATTCCCTTGTGTATAAATGGCTAAAAAGATGTAATGAACACTCACATATGCTCCACATTGCACAACTCAAAATACCAAAAAAAAAAAAATAATAATAATAATGATAAAATAAATAAATAAAAAAATAAAATATGGGGACTTAACATCTCTATTCGTACACAGCTTTTGCCTTCTGTTTTTATTTGTGACGGCGAGTGCAACTCAAAAGACATTCCAGCATTCTTGGAACTTTTCAGATGGCAGAATACGTTTCCCCATGTGGTAGTGAGTGGTGATCTCCAAATATGTTTGGTGCAATTGCTCAAGTAATAAACAAGCGTTCATAGATACCCACACTTTTCTACACGCATGCACAGTAAGTTATTTGAGTCCCTGAAGAAAATCCAGCTCACTAGCAGGATTATGAGAAATGGGTTGACAAAAATCCTTATACCTTCAGACTACTGCAATAATCAAATTGGGACCCAATTCACCATTTATTTTGATAAATGGCGATATTGTGAACAGGGTATCTGTAAATCTGTCTCAAACCATTGGAATATTGCATTGCGTTTTGTGCAGTAAAAGATATCATTACAATCTGTGAGTCAGTAGGCCCATGAACAAAGGGTTAAAATATCATAGAGTAAGCATGAAGTTTTGATCTGGCCTGTCAATCAAGCAATCAAAAAAGCTAAAATGTCATGTCTCATAGTTTTAAAGAAAAACTCCTCAGAATTTTTTTTATCATGAGTAAAACAGTGTACAAACCTATGTAAGCACCACCTCGACACCCGAGAGCGCCCATACACACTGGTCCCTTTGTGTCACTGTAGAAGAATTCCAACCCAGCTTCTTCATAGGGAACAAGATTCCTCCTTCTTAATACCTGGATGTTATAAATAAATGCACTATTAGCAGAACTGTGAACTCAGTGCATTTACTAAGATCTATACTGACAATTTTGAATCTAATGCCTGATCTTACTTTGAAATGGATCTTACTTATCACAAAACCTACAATTGAACTGATTTTGAGTTGTCAACACTGTCACTTCAATATCAATGAATTTACCTTCAAGTTTGGGAAACCACATAGTGAGAAAACAAATTTCCCATTAAGTAGAATTCTGAACTCTATACATAACACTCATTCTGCGTCCCTACAGTTCAAACTTCTGTTACTTTCGTGCATTTTCTTAAAGCTACTTTTCCCCATTTTTGCAGCATTTCTGAACACATGACCCTTAGGGTGCTTTCCCAGAGATTTAGATCGATCTAAAGATTAAGATTTAGATCGACCTAACTCCCTGGGGGTTCGCGCTAAATTGCAGTCAGCTGAGTGGGCACCATAGTTAATTACCCCCTTACAGCGTTTAGTAGGCGGGACAGACGCTTAAGCCGACCAAGCTGACAGTAATCTAGTGAGACTCCCCACAGGGATAGATCGATCTAAAAATCTATGGAAATGGGGTGTTAGAGACCATTCCCATATATCTATTGTACTAACAAGATAGATCTATCTCCGAGGGGATCCTTGCTAAATTGCATTCAGCATAAACAGCATAGATGTCTGGCACGCGAGCTGAATGTAATATAGCAAGAAACCCCTCAATGCTGGATCGATCCTGCTAGAAAGATCTAGGTATGGAATTGGGTTTTCAGCCTACCTGACTGATCAGAGCTTCAGTGGCTTCATCAATACCGACTGGTTTCCCACGAGAGTCCTTCTTCTCATAGTTGCTCCTCATTCTGTCCAAACCATAGACGTGCTTCAAGCCCTGGTACAGAGATGCTGCAGTTATGAATGACGGAACAACCATATTGACGAATTCCTCACTGAATTTCAATCCCTTCAGACGCTGCCAGATTCTTGACATGGTGCACAGTCTAGTGGATTTCTGAAATGGAGAGATATTGTTAACGATATGACAGTTGCGATGGATACTGCAAGTGTAAATATGTCATACAGCCTGATACAGGATAGAGCAAAAGAAGCATAGACAAAATCATAGCTTGTACATACATTCACCATGAAACTTGGGGTTCTCAATTTTCATTTTTACTTTGATAACCTCTCATCTTAACTCTCACACACTCTTGTAAAGCCAACAGTTTTCTTGTCAAAAGAGCCAAGAGTAAGGAGAGATTCATTTGTTTTGTGTGGTGGGTGCGCAAACTGGTTTGGGCCGAGTAAGTCTTAAGCATTGCGTATTGCACATAGCGATATCACATAGAGGCTACAATGTATTATATTGGGCGACTATAGGCGAGTTATGGAATCAAGATGCTTGCGCTCGTTTGCAGTATAGGATGTTTTTGAGTTATGGGGCCGATTTTTTATTTTTTATTTTTTGCCAGATCTAGTATGTGTATGTGTGTCTCTGTGTGTGCACGCTTGTGTACATACCAAAAATTGCAAGTCCTCCATTAGTAATACTTGGATTTCATGCTATGCAGTTGTGATTGAGAGCCCCACCCTCCCATTATCTTTTTATAAACACAAGCCAGCGAAATACTACACATGACGCATGAGCCTAGGTTTTAAAAAACCGTGAACATTTATCATTTTATTGCAGATTTTGGCGAATCTCAGAAATCTTCAGAATTGAATTAAAAAACGCGGAATTTCGCGTTCCGCGGGAAAAAAACTCATGTCTGATACATAAACTGTCTGCAGGCAGCTGTACCAGTTTGCCCTTCAAAACCCAGTTAGGTAATTTATTTCATAACTTTTAATTCCCTCATATCACAATGTGTGAAAAATCGAAGGTTTTGAACTATGTAGTATTCAAACAACGGTACCTTTGATAGTAAACGTTATATTTTTTCAACTGACACAACTCTTGAATCCCACTTCCTCTCTTAAATATGGAAATTTCAAACCGACTTGGCGCTATTCCTGCTCTCCACACAATTAAAAGGGCGCAGACATTTTGTTTTTCAGAACGAGATTCTGACGTGACGTCATGCGATCAACAAGTGCGCAGGTGCAGAGTAAGAGAATTTTTACCGTTCACACACAACACACGATGGAGCGGGGGTCTTAAGATTTTAACATTAAAACTACGACTTTTAATTTATATCAATTACCTAGCATGCTTGGGGATTTACATTGGATTATTTTAGCGAGCTGACCAAGGGAAATCGCGAACCAAAATGTCTAGACTTATACGGTTTTTGAGCCGAAGACGAACGGGTCGCGGGATTCAGAAAGTTGGGGATGGAAAGCCAAGAAAGGGATGCATCAATTGCAAAATAATCCTACTGGATGGAACGGATATCAGCATAGACATAGACGTAAGTAGAGATCTGACCTCTTATATGTTATATTTCCAATCCCGCCACGACAGAATCGTTCGAAATCTCGACTTCAAAATAGGGTTATATGCATGACCTAGTTTGGCCCTCGTCAATTTCATTGCTCCTCTCAACTCGATCATTCCAAGACGGCAAATGCAGATTAAGGTGCGCAACTGGTGGTGGTTTATGGATTCTATGTACGAAAGAGACGGGGACATTTTTTTCTCCATATGATTATGCCACAAATTCCCTTTAATTCCAGAAGCGTGTTTGCTAGTAGGAGGAATCAACGGCGTCGCCGTGCACCCCACCCCCATAAATTTAACTGTGTCCGCCTCCGACTGTCGGAACAAATCCCCACGTTATTGCTTTATTGAAATGAATGATTTTGTTTATCAGATTTGTCTCTTTGATTGCTGCTGGCAGTTTGCTGTACTAATTACCTTATTGCAGCCAGTAAACATATTAATTTGTTAGTGTTGTTGCAGTGAAAGTCAAATTTGGGATTAATTGATTAAGATTGGTGGGTGGGCAGGGCTTGACACTAACTTTTTTCGATACTGGCCCGAGATATTGGTATACGTTGCAAGAATGATTTGACACATGACACTTTCCTTGCTCTTTGGGCCAGTGACCCCAGTGATTCAATGGCCCTAGGTTGGTTTTCAGTGGCCCAGGGCCAGTGGGCCACCCTTAATGTCAAGCCCTGGTGGGGAGAAAGGGATCCCCATATCTTTATTACTGGTCCCATTATACCATGCCTTGCTGTTACCCTTATTAATTAATGAATCTTATGCCATGTTAAAGGACATCTTAAGCCATGTTAAAGGACATACAGCAGTCTTAGCTGGAAAAAATATATATGATCAGTGCTATCACAGCTGGTTTAGTATTAAAAACAATATATATATATATGACAAATTTGTGAAAGGTGGCAGGCTAGCATGGCCGTGGGTAGTCAAACCAAAAGCAAACTATTAACCATCACACAAATTGCATCTGTGTAATCCAATAAAAATGACATATATGCATTGCAGTATGTCCATTTTATGGACAGCAAATAAATTTAATTGGCAATCCATCAGAACATGTTTTTCTGCCATGAAAACTCATGCTTAAGACAGCTGTTTTACTGGATAAGTGATACGTGTCATATCTATCCATACAATACCATATATTATTGAGATACAGCTGGGACATTGGACAAGATATCCTGTCACATACATGATGTGTAATTCTTATGATTGGTCCATGATGCTGGTCTGTTTTATAGTACAAGTACGTTTATAATGCAAGAACCATATTTGTCGAATTACAGTACTGCTTGTTTTAAATGCCAAGCTGTCTTTGCCATTGTGATTGAAATGAGCATTCAAAGCTGAACTGATTTAAGTTTGAGAGTAAAGGGTAGTTTGCTTATTAGCATGTACATTATTATGCTTAATGTGTATTGAAATATAGTTGTTTATTATTTGCATAGTGTTATTAATGGTTGTTTAATTTCATTACATCAACACTACAGGTGGTATGTATTGTTGAGTTAAAGTAAACTATATATATATATATAGAGAGAGAGAGAGAGAGAGAGAGAAAGAAAGAGACAGTAACAAGATGCACCAGCTTTATCTCCCCCCATCAGCTACAACTGTGAAGCAGTTATTAAATTTCACTAGCCTAAGGAGATACAGCTTCATTCAGATAGAACACAGTTGTGCTGCTTATAAATAATAATATTTATTAGTATTATTGCATCTTTACCTAGTACTGTAATACTGCAACATTCTTAAAGTGGTATCTAATTATGATTCCCCTCCCTCTCCCCCCGTCTCCAAACACACCCTTCCTGGCTTATATTTCTATCAAAGGCTCACTTTTAAATTTGCACAGTATCTCAATTTTGAAATTATACCCCTTTTCATACATCCTGATGCATTGATTATATGATGAAATAAAGGCAGTGATTAATTCAGTTGTTTGTAATACAGAAGGTGATATTATGACTGGGATGGTCTGGTCCCATTCAATTACCTTAGTGCAGTAGAGTTAATGGTATTCAGACTTAGTTAATGGATGGACCAGAAGGTAATTGTTCAACTGGGATGGTGGGATTCACATTGGTAGTTTAGGGGTCCTTGTCTCGGGCAATATTGGTGAATGGATGAAGAAATATAGAATGAAAGACAGACCTAAATAATTGTTTTGGATGAATACATGTGTACAGAGTTTAATTTTTCACTTGTTTTACCTGTAGGCAGAGAGAGAGAGAGAGAGAGAGAGAGAGAGAGAGCGTCACAGATAGATATGTTCACATGCACACACATTTTCACCAATGCACTTTTATGATCAGGCATATCTGCTTATTATTATTCTATGCCAATACAAATATGCAAAATATTAAAGCAAAAACAGCAGCACATGATATTTCAGTAGAAAAAGAAGTGATAATGTCTGTCTCCATGTTTTTAATCAAGGAGGGAGACTCTGTATGGGAGATTTGAAGTCAGGCAAACCAGTTATTTCCTGATTATAGCATTATGATTCATGTGTAATGAGCAGCATTACAAAATAAATGCTACTAGGCTTGACTTGTGTTTATTTGAATAGCAATGAGTCAATTTTGATTCTAAATAAAGAAGTGATATAGGACTTATCGATGACATGTCTTGTTGCTGAGAGGGTTGCTCTGGGGGGGAGGGGGGCATTCAGTTTTGTTGGAACAAAAATGATTTTGAGACTTGTGACTGAGGGAAAATGGTTTGTAAGGCCTGTCCTGGGATAAAATTTATTTTGACACATAACTGAAAATCAGAAAAGAATGATTAAGCAGAAGTCCTTAGTGAGGGGTTACTATTTATTAAAAAGCAGAAAAACATTTTAAAAATTGCAATATTATGTAAATTTGTTGTGGTGATCTTAAAATGTTGACCGCAGGTGAACGCATAAGAATGGTATGTAGAATGTTATTAAACTTTTGGTTTATTTTCCCTTTGGGTGAAGTCTGCTGTGTTCATTTTAATAGATCATGATGACATCTGGAGCAATTAAAAGCTATATATACTTCTTATCAGTTGTCATGTCTGAATGAATCAACAAAGGAAATGAATATATATAAAAGGCAAGACTTGAGCATATTATAGTTTAAATAAACTGCCATAAAATGACACAGAAGTCCAGTGTTAACTCACCTATTGATTGGCAATCAATAAATTTTTTTTTATCATGGAGAGGTTGAATAATGCCATAAAATGTTGCTACTGAAAAGGTAATCTATGGTATCAGTTAACAATAAAACCAGGATATAGCTGCATGGCTGGAATGATGATGATGAGGCAGTGATATGTGGGCTTGCAAAAATGAGAAATGAAACCTCATAATGAGGTGTGTTGCTTTTTATCTTGTTTTATGGTTAAGATGTCTCATATTGGCCAGTACTTCATTTCTCTCTCTCTCTCTCTCTCTCTCTCATGTACTATGATCACTAGTGTATATGCACACAGATTTTTTACCTTGGTTGAATGTATTTCACACTCATGGCTCAATATTAGAGCCACCCATTGCAAAATGCATCTCAAACTACATGGCTGCATTTCCAGTGGTTTTGTGTCAGCTTAACTTGTACACATACCGCCCAATTAGGACATGATAGTTTTTGGCAGAACAATCCAGTGGCAAAACCTTAACTATGCCAGCGTGTGCAACATCAGCAGGTTTAGATACTCTTTCCTTGGAAAGTAACTGTATAATAAAATAGCACATATTCAGCTAAGCCGTCTTAACCCGAATTGCATTGCACCGTATGATAATACAGCCAGTGTGTGTTTGCACTGCCCATGTGAACACTCTATCCTGCTAATTAGATGGAACCCTGTACCTGGCCAAATGCCTCTGGGATGCTCTGCATTCCTGGCATACTGTCAATCAATACCTTACCATGGCCCAGGCTTATCCTCATTCTGTTATTATAGATCATAATATTTTCTTCAAAACAGTAGGTGAAATTGGAGGTATTTGCTTTTGTGTATTTTGATGTCTTTTGCAAGTTAAACTTCACTTTTTCGGTGAATGTCAATTTGTAAGACAGCAATAGCCTGGACATCATTCTGAAAACGTTAGTGAACTCCATAGGCTATTGTATCTAGCTTGGTCGTGAAAAGCTTCATCTGTGTCAGCATTTGATGTTCTCACCATTAAATGAGATTTTAAAAGAATTGTAGGAGAGTGTGATCAGCAATAATGGCAGGTTAGCAAAGGTGGTGGGGCATTGAATCAAAACAGAAATTGTCCGCAAAATTATCCACAGATTCTTTAAATATATATTCTAGATGTTTGCTCTTGCACAACAGAAGGAATTCGCCAAGTTTGGGGTGTTACTCTGATAGTAATAATATTAGGTGATATTCCTGGCTCAAAATTTTGACCATCATTGTCGAAAAGTCACCTCACCTCACACATCCCACAGTCTTGTACTGTATGTCATCACTAAGTATTAATTTTAGTGTGCATCTTAGATGATTTCGTTAATGACCACATGATCTGCTGAAAGATGAGTGGTCACATGTATAATGTATATGCAACTCAAAATCTCTCTCTCTCTCCACCACAGCTTCCATTGCAGCCGAGGCTTAACCAAGATTTGTTAGGTACTAGTATACATAATAAAATATTGTATCATAAGCAAGCTGACACATTAAGCCTGTCAGTAAATGATTGATGACTAGAATAAAATCGTATTTTAAGTGTTATGTCCATACTTGTATGTGGCACATTATGTGATGAAGATTTGCAGCTGGATTATGATTTGCATTGTTAATCCCAAGTGTATATATAAAACTTGATGTTCCATAGTGCCCATTGAGAAAGCGGGCACTAGCTTACACCCCATTCTCATAGATTAGATCGACCTACATTGGATCGACCTAACTCCCTGGGGTTTCACGCTAAATAGCTGTCAGCCGGGCGGACACGAAAGTTAATTACTCCTTACAGCTTGTAGTAGG